TCCATCTCTCTGCTTGTTGGTCGATCACCGCCTGTGCGAACTCGATCGTAGATCAACGCTTTTTCTGGATCATTCGCTTGAGTCGTTTGCCAACGCCCGTTTTTCATGCATTGCAGCCACACTGTTGCTATCTATTGGTTGCTGCAGGTTGGACAATCGCTATGGTAAAGAGTAAGGCGTCGAGATAGCGCGTCGGCGTTACTGTGCTGTTTCCCGGGTCTGTGGAGGCATTCAAAGTCATATTCCTGTGTTATCTCCTGCTACCGCGCCGCTTGACCCTCAGCATCTTTGAAGTTTTGTAACCAGCGTAGTGATTGGTGGCCCATACGGAAAATTAATCTACGGCCAACTAAGTAGTGCCTGTAATGTCCCAGAAAGAACACCAGTGCTAACATCTCCTTTCGAGTGATACAGTAATTTCTTTCGCTTCTGCTTAAGCATCGGCTCCCGTAGGCTATTCCTTTCCGTCTCGTCCGATTTGTGACAGTACGGCGCCATTTGCTGTGTCGCTGGTATCTGTGTCAAGAATAAGCTGCCCAGCTGATGAGGACGTGTCAGGTAGTATCAAAATGGGTGCTGAACAAAGGAGTTTTCTCAGTGGTTGTAATGAATTTTCACATTCGGCGTCCCATCTCAATGGTTTGTTCCTCTCCAACATCACGTGTAAGGGAGATGCAATTTGAACAAAGTTGACAATGAATCATGTGTAAGACGCTAGACCTAGGAAGCTTCTGACTTCTCCCAAGCTCTGTGGCGTGGGCCAGGATTGCACCTGTTTGACTTTCTTTGGGTCTGTGTGGACTCCTGCTGCCAAGATGGTGTGTCCGAGGTATGCAAACTAATACTGCGTAAAGTGGCATTTTTCCGGTTTCAGGCGGAGGCCAGTTTTTCTCACTCTGTCGATGACTGCTTTCAGATTATCCAAGTGGTTCTTTCCGTGGTTCCGTGAACGATTATATCATCCAGATAAACGAGACATTGGTTTGGGATCAGGCCCTTCAAAGCCTGTTGCATTAGTCGTTGAAACGTAGCCGGAGTGTTCACTAACCCGAACGGCATCGTCTGAAATTCGTAGAGCCCCGAGGGTGTGGGAAAAGCTTTTTGGGAGTGGTCCTTTCCCCCAACTTCCACCTGCCAGTATCCGGATGTTAAGTCCAGAGTACTGCAGTATTTCGCATTAACCAGTGCGTCGAAAAGATCCTCGACCCTCGGAAGTGGAAACGCATCCTTCTTGGTCGCTTTATTCAGCTGTCTGTAGCCTACGCAGAAGCGGAGGCCGCCGTCTTCCTTGCGCACTACCACCATTGGTGTAGACCAAGGGGAGGCAGACGGCTGGATGACATTGCTTTCCTCCGTATACCGTATGGTATTGGCTAACTCCTTCATTCAGAATGCCGGTATGCGCTTAAGGGGATCTTTATTGGTGGGGCGCTTCCCGTGTCTATTCGGTGTTTTACTACGCCTGTCCGCCCTAACTGCGTGTCGCTCTAAGTGAATGCGTCCGCGTACTGCTCGATCACACGCTGGAGTTCCTTGGCGTATTTGAGTTCCAGTCCTGGAGCCTTGTTCTTAATCAAGTCGCAGATTTTCTGCCGGACGGAAGGGGCAGCATTTTTTGTTGACATTGACAGGTTTACTTGTAGTGTTGGAATTCTGCCTTCTCGCAGACGTATCGTGTCGTGTAGCGTTTTTAAAGTGGCAGTTGAGGTGTCTATTTAACCTTTCGCCGCCTTCAGAAGGTTTAGTCCGCTTAAGCACTTGAATGGGATTTCTGGAGAGATTATAAACGTGTGTCGTAGTCGGTGTGTTCCCAGGCTGAATGTTGCAATTAACACTCCTTCCGTCTTTATTGCCAAACCATTTGCGGCTACTAGACGGTCGTGGTTGCGGTGCCTTACTTCCCCCGGTAGGTCCCGTGCGATGTCTGTGGGAGGACCCGGTATCTATCATGCCAGATATGGTTCTGTATTGGAATGTCAGCGGTGCGGTGAGGGACGGCACGTAGGGAGAAGCGGAGGATATTAGGTTGATGATATTTGGTGGGGACTCACCTCTTCTGATTCCTCTCCAAGGCCCTCGTTGGCCACGTTGACCTCACCAAGTCCAACGTCCGGGTCGGTGAAAGTTGGCTGTACTTGGCGGTGGCGCGTGTCGGGGAGTGCCAACATGGAACGAATGGGGTGTGTGAGGAGACTATGCTCCACTTTGGCGGACCATCACTGCGATGCGTCTCTCCAACAGCTCCACCCTTGCGACGGCTTCGTCTAATTCCTCAGGGTGTTGAAGGTAGAATTCTTTTTGGGTGCTAGTGGATGATGTGCCCTCAATGGGCTGTTCTAGGATTCGCTGATTGCGTTCAGAGCTGGACAGGTTTGGGAATGCGCGGTCTGCTAAATGTCGCAATGCTCGAACGTAAGTGCAAACGTTTTCGTCGGCGAGTTGCCGGCGAGAATGGATTTCCCGACGGTACTCGATCGCTAGTTTGGGCGTGTCTAAGAGTTGTCGGACCCTCTTGAATGTGTCGTCCGTTATCTTATGATCTAGGATTCGAGATTCGGAGACAATATCTAATGCCTCGCCAGTGGGAAGTCTATACACCAGGTCGGCTTGTTTATCACGTGGGAAGTTCCGGAGGTAGATTTGTGTTTGTGTCTCCCATCGGTTGTAATTGTTACCGATTGCGAACTTTTCCGGGATTGAGATGGGGGAACACGGTTTTGAAGATTGACTGTTCGGGGACAAGCTGTCCAGAATGCTGATTAGTGCGGGCATTACATCCGACGGTGTTTCAGCCTCACTTTTCGGTGGCAGTTCGGAATCGTCAGAAGAGTTTCCTTGAGTTTTTGGCATGGCAGTGTCGCCACTTTGTAGTATGTTCCAAACGTGGAGAAGACGTGAAGGGTTCGAACGGAGTTATATTATTGCAAAACGTAGCAACACTAAAGGGGTATGGAATGGTTATAATACAAAATGGTAATGTTACGTGTGGGTGCTGTTTTGGTCTTTGCTCTCAGTGTCTTCTATCATGGTGTCAGGCGCCACGCAGTTTGTAAAGCCTGTAAAGGGAAATGGGAGAGTGGTTGTTAACGGCAATTCGGTATTCAATTACTGAACGTCAATCAGTTTTGATTTCTTGCCACGCTATCAACCGAACTCAACGACCTTGAGCGCACGCTTCAAAAGCTTTACGTGTAAGGGGCAACAATCTCGTTTAGGCCGGTCCATTATGTATTGATGTCATCATTTCAATAATTGTCATTCGCCGCTCTGTTTCCATTCCAGACGTGAATGCTACTCAAGTTATGCTCCCTAACCAACCCCATTCAACCCCCTAAGACCTCCCGGACAGTTGCCTCTTGCCCACGATTGCACCGCTTCTTGTACAGAGATCGAGTAATGGTTGACTTTTCCCCAATAAACGCTGTGCTCCGGTCTACGTCTTCTCCCTTCTAAGGGTTGATCGATACCATTCTCGTCTGACTGTGACTTGGAGATCTGCTCCTGGCAAACAATCTGCTGTTCTTCGGCAAAATGGGTTCCGTCCGCCGTATTTGTTTCGGATAAGTAGAACATTCAGGAAAGGGATTGGGTCGCTGTACTCCAGGATGGAACTATCCACAGAAGAGTATATAAGAAACCCACATGGACGGGACAATATGTAAATTCCGACAGCTTTGTGCCGGTGAAACAAAATAGAAATTTGGTGAGATGCCAAGCTATGAGAGCTTGGAAAATTTTCTCTACCAATGCGGTAACCGAAGAACTTGAACACATCAAAAACGTTCTCCGAGGTAACGGTTATCCGCAAAACTTCATAAATAAACATCTAACAGAAATACAGGTGCGCCCGTTTGTACACAGTCAAAAAGAAACCACTATACTTACAACTAGCGTTCAAAGGCAATAACACGGCTGAGTGGCTTACACGACGGATCAATCAAGCGCTGCGTCAAACGTTTACAACAGCCGAACTACGCGTGAATTCAACTACGTCCTCGGTAATACGTCTTCACCTCGAAGATAAACTGCCCTCCCCAAGCCGCATCCATGTGTCTTTACGCGTTCACTTGCTCCTGTGGAGCGAGCTATGTCGGCCGGACTACGAGGCTAGTATCGAAAAGGATACGAGAACACCACCTCCGCTAGTTGAGACATGGTGAAACTAGAACGGCGTAAAGTGCTATCTATTAACTTATACTGGAGACACAGCTCACTATCAATGTTGATCAGGCTTTCCGCAAGATTTACCACTCGCCATCATATCTGCCGAAACGCCTTCGATTTATCAATCTATGCACAGCCGGGGCGATAGCTATACAAACATTGGAATCCCCCTGTGCAACGAAAAGCAGTTCGCTCGGGCTCTAGCTTTGCTCTGGCCTCGGATGAAGAAATCCACTCTACCCCCGAGGGACGCACCAGTAAACTAATCGAGATGAAAATCAAGTAAGCAATCCCAGCATGAACTCTTTACTTAGTCTGACGCGATTAAAACTAGATCTATGAATCCGAATAACCATGCATAATTTTAATGGCTCCGTAACTAACATCCAGTGGTTTCCTACCCTAGCCCCTTCCGGAGCATCCTTAATCAACTCCGATGCGCTTATTCTAAGGTTCCCTAGATCCATACAGCCGAAATTTCTAATCAGTTTGGATGGTTCTCTAGGTTGCCGCATGCACACCTTGATCGATATGATAACTTATCGCTTTCACCAAGAGGTGGGTGCGACTCTAGCGCATGATATCATTCTTGTGTGTAGTTATCACTAGATCCAGCAGGGACGGAGCATTACCCGACTTGAATCTAGTGCTTTCCTTAACATGTTTCCACAGGGTATTTTCGTGCAGCCATTTGGTGTAGTCCTCTTCTGCTGACTCCTGTATTTACACCTCAAACCTCCAGTCTATATGCAGTAGAATGAAATCGCCAACAATAATGGTTTTGTTAGCTTCTTTAACTATCCTCGTGAGAGCACACAGCATTTGACTATCCTCCTCACGGTTTGTACTTGGCGCACGATAATCACATACTACGTTGACTCTTCTATTTTTTTAGTAGTAGGGTTACTGTGAACAACTGCAGATTCATCGTGACGATAATTGTCTCTAATTTTATGTGGTTTGTAACTCTTCTAATCAGAACTGCGACTCCTCTTCCCACATATTCCTGGTTTCGGTCCTGCCGGTAGACGGAGAATGACTCTTGAACTGTCTGCGGTATATTGTCTGTATTATTCAGCCATTTTTCGGTGATTACGAATACAGGCAGGCTATCTGAGCCAGTTCTGCCAATTTATTCCTAACGCAGCATGCGTTAGTGCACAGTATGAACATGCTGTTTTTCCTTCCTATGCATTTACCATGGATCCTTCCTGCTTGGGCCTCGGGCGCCGCACCCGAGGAGACAGCAAGTATTTTTCCGCGGTAATTTTTAGCATGCGGGTCTTTTTGGTGAGGCACCACAGCTGGTGAATTTTTGTTGAACCTCACTGAAGCTTCTTCTTCTACCTTGTCTTTTTACGGGCAACTTTGCCTTTGCTCGTCTTCTGGAACATCCTCAATGACCACGACCCCGGTATGCGTGCTACGCGGTTGTCCGAAGATATCATACGACTTTTTACGTTCTCGTTTAGTTTGTCAGGAGTAATACCCACTTCTCGAGCACTTAGGCGTTCTCAGTGGCTCCCACTGCGTCCGTCTGGTGCAATTCGGTGTCGGTCTCTTGTCCTTTGGGCTACCAGCACAGATCGGGCTGATAGTAGATCCCTAGTTTGTTCCGTGATGAACTCCACTAGAATTAATCGCGCTGGAGGGCCATTTCTAATGGGATTCGGGGCTTTGTGCATCCCCACCTTATGGGCCTCGAGGATGCAAGATAACTGCTAGACGCAGTATGTTTATCACCCTCCTACCGTCAAACTCCCGCCTGGTCTTGACCTCCCTTTTATAAGGCTCCTCGCTTTTAAGTATCAAAAGTCTTCGCCCGTATAATAATAATATAATAATAATAATGTATATTTCACGAAACCCGTGAAGCATGCACAGGGCATAATCATATGTTCAATATAATCATATGTACAACGACAGAACAGGTAAATGGATAAACTACTTGGGAGACATACATACTGGAGATGGCATGGGAGCGAAACGAAAACGCTGTGTAA